ATATTATTATCTAATATAAAAACAGTTATTCTTAGAATTACTAAAACAAATAAAACAAAAAATTTTGAAAATGAATTTCTTGTGAATTGGTTGTAAATAAATGTTTTAAATAATTGATTAAATTCCTGATAAACATAATAATTTAAAGACAAACAATTTAAACGATAATTATTTATTACTAAAACAAATTCAATTACTTCCTGATAGTAATCACATTATAATACTCTATATTTGATACTATTATTAGGATTAATGACTTTAGTATAAAAATGTTATCAGAATTGACTATTGATATAAAAATAGCGAAAAAGGTTTAAATTTTAATATTTTCTATTTATAGCAAATTGATAAAAATGGTCAGTATTTTCTGATATGAATATCAGTTTCCATTCAATTTATACGTGATATAAAAGTTTAGAAATAAAAATATAGTTAAATGGAAAAGATCTAAAAAATCTATTACCAAATAGAGTGGAAATACATCTGATGTCAAAACGTATACTAAAAACAGTGTGACTTATATTTTCAGCGATTGTGAGTGAGAGTAAATGAGAGAGAGAGAGAGAGAGAGAGAGAAAGTGAGAGAAAAATGTATTGAACATCAGTTGAGCAAAAAAGTCTTTGAACTTTTCTTTTCTTATATATTTGTCGTACATTTGATTTGTTTTGAAATTGAATTTTAAATTATTGTTTTCTTTATTATGTTTTCTTCTTATCATTTTATATACGGTTTTTTCTATCAATACTTTAAAGACAATTCAATAGATATAAACAGATAGAGAGTGAGTGCGTGAGAGAGAGAGAGAGAGAGAGAGAGAGAGAGAGAGAGAGAGAAGCGATATAAATATTTTGAGCTATTATTTTATTTCGATAAACAATAAAGTATTGAACCAAATATAGTGTTGTAATAATAAAATACAATTTTAAGCAAAGAAAGAGTAGCAAAATATAATATTTATCATAAGTAGCGAACATTTTTCACAATAAATTGTTTACTTATTATGCATTTTATATGTTGAGAAAAAAGGTAATATAAGCAAGAATTCAAAAATAAAGAAAATTTCTTGTTTTTTCTTATTGTATTCTAAAACAAAACAATCGTTTATATCTTTATATATGAGAAATCCTTTGCCGTAAAGTATTAAAAGTACTGTTAAAACGAAAGTGTAAAATAAGAGCACAATTTTCGCTCACATTTCGTTTACAAAAATATATAACTGAATGTAAATATTATATAAAAGATTGAAAGTGTTTGCGAGACGACTGAAAAACATAGCATTTTATATACGAGAAGAGTGTGTTGTGAAGAATGGGGGAACTTATGAGCCGTTCAGACAGTGTTATTGTTATGGCTTTCATTTCGAGGCTTTACTTTATATTATACTTTGTATCTAAAAGTGAAAAATTCTCATCACTTTTCTTCTTGACTCTCTCTCTCTCTCTCTCTCTCTCTCTCTCTCTCGGCAAACAATTTAAGCTTATTATACAAACAAAGCATAATATTCTATAAATATATGCAATGAAATATTCATGAATGTATTTTTCTTTATTTAAAAATAATGTTTTCTTCAATATTTGTGTATCAGATGTGATGAACAGAATATCATTCAATAAATATAAGCCAAACCTTTTCATTGATGTGTGAAATATAATGATAATTGTATTGAACATCAGTTGAGCAAAAAAGTCTTTGAACTTTTCTTTTCTTATATATTTGTCGTACATTTGATTTGTTTTGAAATTGAATTTTAAATTATTGTTTTCTTTATTATGTTTTCTTCTTATCAAAATGGATATGAAATTTCATTTTTTCTTTAAATCTCTCTCTCTCTCTCTCTCTCTCTCTCATTCACTCTCATTTACTCTCACTCACTATCGCTGAAAATATAAGTCACACAGTTTTTAGTATACGTTTTGACATCAGATGTATTTCCACTCTATTTGGTAATAGATTTTTTAGATCTTTTCCATTTAACTATGTTTTTATTTCTAAACTTTTATATCACGTATAAATTGAATGGAAACTGATATTCATATCAGAAAATACTGACCATTTTTATCAATTTGCTATAAATAGAAAATATTAAAATCTAAACCTTTTTCGCTATTTTTATATCAATAGTCAATTCTGATAACATTTTTATACTAAAGTCATTAATCCTAATAATAGTATCAAATATAGAGTATCGTAATGTGATTACTATCAGGAAGTAATTGAATTTGTTTTAGTAATAAATAATTATTGTTTAAATTTTGCCTTTAAATTATTATGTTTATCAAGAATTTAATCAATTATTTTAAACATTTATTTACAACCAATTCACTAAAAATTCATTTTCAAAATTTTTCGTTTTATTTGTTTTAGTAATTTTAAGAATAACTGTTTTTATATTAGATAATAAAATTGTCTTTTATATCGTGAGAGAGAGAGAGAGAGAGAGAGAGATTTAAAGAAAAAATGAAATTTCATATCCATTTAGAAAAAAAATAACAAATGAATAAAAACACAAAAAAGTCATTACAGGGCAGAGAAAAACACAATACGAGAGCGAAAGTAATAATATTAATAAATTAGTGAAGAAAAGTGTTTATGAAAAATGTTGGCATCAATTATGGGTCACTTATCAAAATGAATGTATGACCACCTCTGCCAACGATAGAGCGCTGTATTCAGTTATATACACACAGAATATATTGATATAAACCTTATATACTGTCTGCTACTTATGTTAGTAGCGGTGATGTTGTCTCTGGTTTTGTGTTCATTAAGTTTTGTTCATCTTTTTCTCTCTCTATCTCTATGTTGTAATAAGTGTTGCCTTCAATCCTATTATACAACTCCTGTACTAATGCTAATCGCACCGGCCTTATGGCACTGTTAGGCTCTCATGTAGTTTGTATTTGGTGTATGTAATGGTGTTTTGTGTACTACTATTGCACAGCCATTAATTGCAATTAAGACCAACAAATAATTACATAAACGCATTGCACAACACATAGGGAACAGTCTTTACGCTCGCGACTAATTTCTTCCCTCAAATTCTCTGTCCTTTCATTCATTTGAATCACACATTCATTCAGTCATCCATTGATTCAATACTCAAATTAATTATATGTATTTTAGGCTTAAATTCACGGAATCTATCGTTTCATTTCAGCGTTAAGAGAAATAGATCTCAAAGTCATATTTATATTTGTAATTAATTATCGTTTATCACAGTATATATTGTATTAGATATATTAAAACTGTTTTATAATTGAATTATAAACTAATATAAAAGTAATAGATAGACAGCGACTACTGTTTAATGAGTAAAACCTTTTTATTAAATAATAGCACAAAAACTACAGCTTTTTTCGTTGTGTTTTTAATCATTAGTCCAAACATTTTGTTTGTATCACAAGATAACAAAAAAGTTTGATCCAAACAACAGATACTACTCTTTCTGTTTCTTACTATTTCTCTCTTTCTTTCATTTCACTTTCAATAAGAGATAAGCATTTTCTCGTTGTGTCTGTTTTTTCTGTGGAGTAATGAAAAAACAAAAACTAAAAACAGTTCAGAAGAGAGAGAGAGAGAGAGAGAGAGGCCCAAGAATTGGCACAAAAGCACAACAAACTGAAGTTATATATCAAATGGTCACTAGATTTTTGCCAGAGAAAAAATAATTGTTTTGATTCACAATACACTATACAATTGATAGCTGCTGTGATCGTATATCTAGATCATAGAGTTGGTAAAGAGTACAAACGGAGTACGGAGTGTGTTGTGCTTGATGTTTCTATATAGCTATTATACCTGCACTTCACACATCATGTTACAGTCATATAAGGTGTGCGTCAACTATATTGTAACATAGAGTTGGTAAAGAGTACAAACGGAGTACGGAGTGTGTTGTGCTTGATGTTTCTATATAGCTATTATACCTGCACTTCACACATCATGTTACAGTCTATATTCCACACGCAGTTGATATAACATATCATTTCCCGTATGCTATACTGGTTTATTTCATTGCAAATATCACTCATTACATATTTTTAATGGATCTAGTTTGTTTTTTAGTGCAGATACCTAATTTTAGGTTTACTACCTGTAGATCTAGATTCATTGTGTGTCCATTAGATAGAAATGACCATGCTCTTTGTCATCAACCAAATGCTAGCATTTCCACAATAACACTACACAGACGGGTCATATCCTCGATATAAATCTGCTTATTGTTAACTATGTTTGCAATTCTGTCTCCATATAAACAATTAACGCAAAAAATAATTACACTTTAGGGTTGAATACTCTTTCTGTTTCTTACTATTTCTCTCTTTCTTTCATTTCACTTTCAATAAGAGATAAGCATTTTCTCGTTGTGTCTGTTTTTTCTGTGGAGTAATGAAAAAACAAAAACTAAAAACAGTTCAGAGAGAGAGAGAGAGGCACAAGAATTGGCACAAAAGCACAACAAACTTAAGTTATATATCAAATGGTCACTAGATTTTTGCCAGAGAAAAAATAATTGTTTTGATTCACAATACACTATACAATTGATAGCTGCTGTGATCGTATATCTAGATTCATTGTGTGTCCATTAGATAGAAATGACCATGCTCTTTGTCATCAAACCAAATGCTAGCATTTCCACAATAACACTACACAGACGGGTCATATCCTCGATATAAATCTGCTTATTGTTAACTATGTTTGCAATTCTGTCTCCATATAAACAATTAACGCAAAAAATAATTACACTTTAGGGTTGATAAATGTTATCCAATATAAGCCTATTGTTAATTATATGTGAGATATTTATTTAATCTTGGTTTAAAAGTGTAAAACTTTAAATGAACTGTCGGGAAAAGATTGTTTTAATCAGTGAATCCTATTTACTGGTCAAACGGATGGTGTGTTTAACAAATTTATTGCGGCTTATATTTAATGTGCGCGAAGATTATCCAGGTCATTTATTATAATTTAAAAGCTTTTGGTTAATTAGTTAATTGTAATGAGTTTTTTCACACACAGACACAGCCAATGGTGTGCTGTATATGGTATGGGAAACACACACATAGAAAGCAATTGTGTTCTCACTATCAGATGGTTATGTCTGACGGCGTGATAGGAAAGGGAGATCAGAGACGACTGAAAACAAGAATAAGAATACAGAGAAAAAACAATTACTGAATGTTATTCTTAGTAAATGACACACAAATCGATGCATTCAATTAATGTTTGTGTCATTCAATTTGTTTCATCAGTATTTCCTTCGACAGGAAAATTAAATACCATTTTCTTAACTCTTTTCTCTCTCTCTCTCTCTCCCGCTTCTTATTCTTTGGGTTTTTCTTATCTTAGTATTCATTCATTTTTAGGGTTAAAACACTATCCAGGAGGGAGAGAGAGAGAGGAGTAATAAAACAGTATTTTTATTTTCAGAAGAGATTAGACACGAATTGTTAGACAACAATACATTCATTACAAACAAATAAACAGTTGAACCAAAAATTGCGGACAAAACAAAAGTCTGGCTCACAATTAATGTGTTATCTATTACTCGCCTTTTATTTTTCCCTTCGATAAGAATTTTCTCATATGTTTGACTGAAAACAATTAATTCTCATTACATATCAAAAAACTATTGACACATCTTTCTATTTGGACAGCAATTACTCTTTATATTGTCTTTTAAAACATATCATTCACTTAATTAATAACGATATCTCTTTTGTATCCGTAAAACACAGGCATAACGTGCATACGTCTGGTGTCCCTCAATGTTCCCGCGCGGGTCAAGAAAGGCAGTGAAGTGCAGTTGTCGTGTCTGTACGACTTGGGCAACGCTTCCCTCTATTCGTTGAAATGGTTTTATCGAAACCACAAGAATCCAGAGGAACAGGAGTTCTTCCGATACACTCCACGAGGAAAACCAGTCAAACAAGTGTTTCCATTGGAAGGCATTAACGTTGACGTGAGTTACCATTACAACCATTATTGTTATCCCATTCCTTGCTCTCTCTCTCTCTCTCTCTCTCTCTCTCTCTCTCTCATCGCTCGTTTGGATTGTTTCACAAAATTTATAATTAGAATATATTGCACTTGATATTAATCTAGACATAAGTTTTAATTGAATTATTAAAAAACAATTAGAAACTTATAATTGTCTTAAAGTTTTGCCACATTTATTGTCTCGAGAATAATATAATTTAGTCATAAGAATATTATGTTTCCTTAACTTTATTATTATTGTAATAAATAAAAAGCAATTTCAGCTCGTAATTAGTTTTGAGTATAATATTGTGTTTCGTAACCGAGTTTTATAAATATTAGATATTTATGGCATACAAGAGATGTTAAAAAAGAAAATTTTGAATTATATTCCAGAATAAATATATAATTATATACACTTATTACCAGAAAATTATTACCAGAAAATTACAAACTATTATTATTGTTGTTGTTTTGCATACAATAGTATACAATGAATATTATACAAATCTAATAAACTAATAACTATTTCAATAGTTTGTAACACACAATGTTTATTACAATATGTTTATGATAATGATAGCACAGAATATGTATATATGTATCGCAAGAATATTCTTATTGTTTTAAAAAGAAAAAAGTTTTTATTATTCCAAACATACGTTAAACTTTATTTTTGTTGTTATATTTTTTACACAATAAATATAAAAATTTTCTTCAATATGCGTGTAAAATATGAATGAAAAATCGATAGATGTGTTGGTATTTTCATTTGACTCCACAATTCTGGTGTAAATAAAAACGGGAGAAATATTTCTTTATTTTTATTTGTTTTTCTGTGTATTATTTTTTCTATTCAATGCATTCATTCAATGAATAAAACGATCTGTCATTCAGTTAGTCAGTGATTGTATTAAATATTTGAGTGACTATTAAATTACTGAAGCATTCAATACATGAGTGACTCTCGACTAATGAAAAATCGATTCGCAGACACAACAGTCGGCGTTCAGAAACACGGCTTCGACTGTAATATGACTGTCAGACACAATAGAGAGGCTTATTATCAAAAATCAATAAAAATAACTCTAAAATCAATTACTTTTCATCGCTAGTGAGTGAGAGTGGAGAGAGAGAGAGAGAGAGAGAGAGAGAGAGAGAGACCTGTCCTCATATAATAGCGAATACACGACATTAAATTTATATATCTTTTATGTGTCGACAACTCTTTGTTCATTCAATCAATGGATCGCAAAATATGTTTAAAATTGTGTCTCCAATCCCATGATAATAACAAATGAGATTACATTGTTCAATCAATATGTTACAATATAACCATGTTAAATTATGCGATTGGTGTCATTTTAAATTAATTACCAAATCAATGATGAATTGTTTGTTAATTGTCACTATAATTATGCATTTATTATATAGTTTTACAAATCAGAAGGCGGAACGGTATACATAACGGAGACTAATGGCATGACTAGTGGTAACTACAAGTGCGAGATCAGTGTTGAGGGAACCTTTCAGACGGTGGCCGCAGAGAAACTCATGACCGTTGAGGGTATGTATGCCTCGGTTTGATTGAAATTGTTTTAATTATTTATCTCATATGTTATATAAAATACTCACTTTTTAGTAATTGTAAAGAATATCGAGAATAGTGTAAAATTTGTGTTGAGTATAATGATCTAGATCTAACATTAAAAGTATATTAAAGTGAGAAAAATGGCGGTAAATATTTATTTTAGAAAATGACCCGATTTTTCGGGTCAAAAATGGGATTAGTGTACAGATGTTTCCTTAAAACATAATCACAACTAATACTAATAAATAGTATATAAGAGAAAACAAATAAAATTATAGAAAAATATCGTAAAAATCATAAAAAGAGAGCAGAAATTAAGTACAGAATTAATAGTTAGTAAATAAAGAGTACATCAAAAGCACAATATTTTATATATATTTCGGGAGAGAAAAAAGAAGATAACAAAAAGACTATATTCTGGACATTAAACACATAATATAATGCATTAGTTGTTCAGATTTATGATTGCTTTCCAACAGATAAATAGACTTAACAAACAATTAGATTGTATAGAGTATAGCGAGTAAAAACATATAGTGTATAGACTTTTAGTGGGTAATCAATGGGATTCATTGGATTTAATAATTTATATATAAAATGTATTTTTCCAATCGTTTTGTATTTACAGCAAACAGAGCATCGGTTTTATCGCATCCAGCGATGGATACAAATAAATTGTTGTTACAATTGTTGTGCGCCAGTAGTGCTATACTCGCATGGATTGCATCCAAACAACATTTATCACAATTTTTTAGTGCCGACGAAACTTCAATCACCAGTACTTCATCGCTAACTATCACTACAACTATAACTACAACACAAACACAAACAACAACTAATGAAACAACAAATACGACCGAAACGTATAATCCATTAATTGATTGCCGGACTCAACCAAAATGCCACACAATAGCGACAAATACATCAATACATAAGTCTCTATGAAAACTAATTAATTATAAATATTATGTGGAATGAAGTATTATATGAAAAACAATGATGGGCGCTTGCAATTCCTATTCAATCAGCATTTCGTTATAAATAATATTTTGTTTCGCAAACAACTAATTCATGACTCTTTTCTTCTCTCCATTCAATACTCTCTTCTTTTTTGTGTTTTTTATTAAATAAAATATGAGAAAAAATTCAAATACTTTTCTAACTATAATCTGAGACATGAAAACACACATTGCATTCATTTTCGTCTCTCATCTAATCATTACATCTGATGTTTATCTTCATAACAGGCATTCATCGCATAAATTTCTATCAGAGATTGTGTTTTGTTTTTTCTTCGCTTCTTCTCCTTCTTCTCGTCATTTCGTGTCATATATATTGATATTAAACGAAAGGAAACTTATTTTTAAAAAATCATTTTTCTTTATAAATATCTTCGGAAACGTATATATATTTATTCATTCAATGTTTTTAAATATGAAAAATATTCTCCACGAAAGTAAATGATTGAGTGAATGAATAACTTCTACCTTCAGTTAAATATAATGCCCTGTTTTTCATCAATAATTTTATGTAAAGATTTTTTTCTGAATAAATAAATGAATGAATAAATAATTTATGAAAACATTACACTTTATACACACTTTACGCTATAATAACTTCGGCTCTCTCTCTCTCTCTCTCTTTCTTATTCGCCATTTAATAGACAAACAGTTTTTATTGTAGTTTTTGTGTCAAAATGACTGTTGAATACAGAAGTGATTATTAAAATTAAGACTCTCTCTCTCTCTCTCTCTCTCTCTCTCTCTCTCTAACTCTGTCTACACTATTGAGGCCATCGATTGTTTAGTTATTTTTGTGGTTTTCTCTATTTATAATGGATTTGCAAATACCAGACCCACAGCTACTGAACCACTGATTGACATATGATTTTCAGATTTCATTTTTCAATTTAAAATCTGAATAAAAAATTGATTTTTCTTCCGCACAACGAGAATAATGTGCGAAAATATGAACCAAAAAAAGAGATTTATAGACAACAAGAAATTGACGCAAAAAATATTGTAAATATAATGTGAAATTTTGATGAACAAATCAATGGAGATTTTTTTCCACTGAATATTCTTCGGATATTCTGTCAAAGATTTTGTGATTTTATTTTAAAAATGATTAAATAATAATGAATTTTAATGAATTTATTAGAAGAAAAATACGGCATAAAATATATGTTTTTAAAACTCTTTATAAATCTTAATATATTCAGTGTATATAATATGTAAACGTATGGCTCGAGTGGAATATTTACTCAAAAACACTTAATTTTAATAATCACTTCTGTATTCAACAGTCATTTTGACACAAAAACTACAATAAAAACTGTTTGTCTATTAAATGGCGAATAAGAAAGAGATAGAGAATTATAAACAGAAACCGATGAGAGATAGAGAGACTGACAGACAGATACTGAAGGGATGGATGGATTGGAGGGCCAGAGAGTGAACCAAAAAAGTCGTTTGCATTACAAACAGAAAAACAATTGTCCGCAAAATTGGTTTCGTCCGAAAAATAAGTGCAAAAATTGCGAAAAATACGTGACTCGCAGTCCAAAAACGGTGTTGCGATGAGTTTCACGGCTTGTGTTTCGAGTGCTGGTAATAAATGGACACTAAAATTGGTTTGCGATTAAAGAGAGAATAAGAGGGAAAGACATATATATATATATATATATATATATATATATATATATATATGGAGAGAGAGAGAGAGAGAGAGAGAGAGAATATAATATGTAAACGTATGGCTCGAGTGGAATATTTACTCAAAAACACTTAATTTTAATAATCACTTCTGTATTCAACAGTCATTTTGACACAAAAACTACAATAAAAACTGTTTGTCTATTAAATAGCAATTAAGAAAGAGATAGAGAGACTGACAGACAGATACTGAAGGGATGGATGGATTGGAGGGCCAGAGAGTGAACCAAAAAAGTCGTTTGCATTACAAACAGAAAAACAATTGTCCGCAAAATTGGTTTCGTCCGAA